ATATTACGTTAGCATCAGTTGGGTTGGGTTACCGAGAAATAGTTCGAAGTGGTAGCTTGAAACGTTATCAGACACGGTGAAACTGCTGCAATTTCCTTCTTTCTTCCTTTTCTGAAAGTAACATGAAGTGATGAATGTTGAATGATCTTGACAAATATGTCTTTCGTTCTCTTCATTTTTCCTTCTCTTATTACTGTTGTGTAGCGTACCTCTTGGTCCCCCTATGGGTACCGAATCAGTCTTAAATGAATAAAATAAAAAGGCATTTTGTTTGACAACAGTCCTATATACATTCACTGCTTTTTATAGATTTTCTCTTGTCAGATCACATTCACCTTTTAGTTTTCTGGGTGGGCTTTAAAAATCTATTCATATTATAAGGTAAATGAAGGTGAATCATATAGGGAAAGAATGTTGGCACCTTAGAGAATGTAAAGCGGGTTATGTTTGATCGTAAGAGAATCAAGTATGCCGCCTATCACGTATTCATATTAATCTTAGCCACTATTTTAAGTAAAAGGTTATTGCATGTATGTACATGCAATCTTTGATTTTCATACTGTAGTAAAACATATCATCATTATTTTCCACTTTGGTTATTGTACAGGAATCTATAAATATACACTGTATAAGTTAAACCAAGTATTATTGTTGTTTCGTATTATTTGTTCCGCAGTCTTCTGATTATTGCTCAATCCATTTGTTTGTTTGTTTTTTTCCACATGCTTTAATTGTTTCTTCTCGCTGCATGCCATCAGTCTATCCATGAGTCCATGAAGTATTTGACGGTTGGTTTGAGCCAGCCACGTAGGCTGCCTGATTGGGCTCATCGAGATACTAAGAACCAATGACTAAAGATTATTGGAAATATGACTCTAAATCCATCTCAGTGACGCGAATGCCTGCACTCGTTGTAATCTCTCATATTCACTAAGCGATCGTGTTTTTTCCACGTTTTTATTCTTTCTTCCTCAAATTTCTGTTTATTTTAATGCTTCTGAATCGCTTTTTCTGTCTTTTGCCTACCTGTATGTGTGTGTGTGTGTTACCTGGAGTGTGCAATTTAAACTACCGCACTTTTTTTTTTACCAAGTTCTATACTGAAACTCAGTTATCCTACGTCGATGTAAATTGGTGGGTGGTGACTAGCCGCGGAATCCAGGATGCGTATTTCGTCCTATTTGGATTTACATGCATTCCCCATTGGGTGAGTGATGGTATTCTCACTGAGGCTTGAACCCGGTATCTATAATTTCAAACGCCAAAGCGTTATCCACTCGACCACTTGAGCCAAGAGAGCCACCTATTGTGCAACGGGTATTAGTACTTACTTAATTCATTTTGGACTTTTCCAGTTGATTGATTGGACCGAAGTGCTTGGCCTCAGGTTGATGTGTCAGCCCCTTGTGCAGATGATTTGATGATATCTGCCGTTTAAAACTATGATTAGTAACACCATTACTCATTCACCTACCAGGGTATGCAGGTATCTCCAGATGGCGAGTCCAAAATGGGACGAAGTCCGCATCCTGGATTCCACTGTTAGTCACCATCCACCGATTTACTTCAGGTTAAACAATCAGACATCGTTGAAGCATTTTCACAATGAGCTAATATGTCAACTTGAGGCCGAACCTTACGGTGCGATCAGTCAGTGGAGAAGTCGAAATTAAATTAAATAACAGTGATTCCACTGTTGTAATTTCTTCATGACTTCACTATTGGTTGATTTCTCAGTGATACCTCTGGGTAGTTTATGAGCTTCTTGAAAGTGTTCCTTGATATAACTATGAACATTGACTAGAGGAGTTACCTATTTGACGGTGATTAACAGTGGAATCCAGGACGGAGGTTTCGTCCAGTTTGGAATTCATCAACTCATTATATATAGCCCTTAGTGAGTAGTAGTCTTTCCACCTGAGTCTTGAATAGACCACCTATCGCTCTAAATAGCGAAGTGTTTTTTCCGTTTTACGGGGCCATTAAGCTGTGAAGGCCATCTCGTGTGTGTGTTAAGCGGGTGTAATTAGAAATTATTTATTCATACTCATATCTAGAGCATCGTTACTCACATTAGAGAAAAAGTATACAACAGGACACTACCAAACAGATAGGCTTATTCTTTGGAAACCTATGAACGTGTTCGTTAGTCAGTCACTCACGATTCTACGGTTCTACTCACCGTCACCAGGAGACACGTGAAACAAGGTACAATTGATCTGAACACTTAGACTGTGTAATTGTGTCGTATACATAGAAGTATTATTTATTATTATTGCTCCCTTGGGCTCCTAGTGTAACATAAGACTTCAACAACATATCTCCACATTGTTCTATCTTCTGAGGTCATCTTTACCTGGCCCCACAATCGCTCATAATCTCTGATCTCTGACCTCTCACACCATCTCTTCCATGTCATCCTCGGACGACCCATTTGAGTTCCACTCTAGTAATGGCCTGGTAAACGACGTCAATCGACGGTCTCCTCCTATACAGAAGTAGTGTCCCGTAATCCTGTTTACGCTTATGTAAATGTGTCTGGATTGTGTTGTGTTTCGAATACAGAAGTTATATGGATACCTTTTGGTGGTGATACTTTTTAGTGTTATTCCTGAGATAGTGTATACTTCTAAAGTCTTTCATTGACTGTGGCTTGTGGAGCAGATTTATGACAGTTTTCCATCATAAAGGTCAATTTCAATTGTTCATTTAAGAACTATTGTATGAGCAAGCTTTAACCTCTAAATTTTCAGTAGTGCCTGTGTTGTTTTTACGGGGTGGGGTATCACTAGTTTCATACCCAACCAACCTTCTATCATCTTCCAGGCTAACTATCTACCAGCAGTAAGCTAGATAAGGCCTAGGAGTACGTCAGACAAAGTGCGTGGCTGGTGCGCGAGCATTCTGCCAGTGGACCACTGAACTGTCGACCCACATCATTGTTGTTAGGTCTTTTGCGAACTATGACTCTCGTATCAATCAACATTCAAATTAACTTGCTAACATTATTTATCAAACCACATTTTTAAAAAACTATAAAAAAGTGACTGTAGTATTCAGTTGTAAAATTTTGCGTTGCTTTCAGCAGCTACATTACTCCTCATCGGATTTAATCAAGATAATAACATTTGTAAAAAACTATATTTTTGTAAAATCTCAGCGACATTTAAATGAGTAATTCCAACGTTTCATGCATTCGTCAATCTGGTCCGAACTTCTTCAGGGAAATTAATCGAAATTAACATAACAACAGAGGTTTATATATAAAAGGAACATGTCTTGCTTTTTGAAAACTTTGTCCAACCATGAGTCATAAAACAAGTATCTACAAGTACAATACAATAAAAATTGTATGAGCTGTGATCAAAATTTGACCTCAGACTTGAAAATATTGATCTACCTTTGTTAAACACTTTAAACAGAGTGTGTATGTGTGGGTAAACATTTCTTAACGTCTCCATAAGGTGACATAGACAGTCGGGAATTTTGACCAAATATTATTAATTAGTGATACATATCCATTCTTATTTATTAATCAAGATTTCTTATGCATCAGCTAACATCACACCTTCATGTCTGTTCAAACCGTTAGTATCTAGAATTTTATGATTAGACGTATTTTCAAATTATGGTGTTTAGGATTAGAGTTTAGTTGAAGCACCCTGTCGAACCGATTGCTTTGTCTTCTTTTTGAATATTGAGCTGCTTTATTCGACCTACTGGAGTTGTCAGGTGATTCGACAGCTACGGATTTAGGATATGCACTCTGTTGCAGACAATGGAGAGTGAAAACACGATGACTGTGCCAATTACATAGTTTCTTTGTTAATTTAATTCGATTGAAAAATAATACAAATGAACAAAATATTTGGGCGCCGAGTGAGAAGTAGACATCTGTAAAAAATTATATTTGTAAAATCTCAGAGAGATTGAAACGAGCATGTATGTATGTATGTGTTTAACAAAGGTAGACCAATATTTTCAAGTCTGAGGTCAAATTTTGATCACAGCTCATACAATTTTTATTGTATTGTACTTGTAGATACTTGTTTTATGACTCATGGTTGGACAAAGTTTTCAAAAAGCAAGACATGTTCCTTTTATATATAAACCTCTGTTGTTATGTTAATTTCGATTAATTTCCCTGAAGAAGTTCGGACCAGATTGACGAATGCATGAAACGTTGGAATTACTCATTTAAATGTCGCTGAGATTTTACAAAAATATAATTTTTTACAAATGTCTACTTCTCACTAGGCGCCCAAATATTTTAGAACTATTCTGTCAAATCTTGGCGACAGTTCATTTGAATAAGATAATAACGTATGTGATTCGCAATAAGTCGGTTTCACTTGATGATATTCTTTTTTCTGTTGAACTTGCCTCAATAATGAGTGTTCTGGTAAAACTGACTTTCCAGTAGTCGTGAAGCCATATGACATTTGTGTCTGTGAAGTATTTTTCTGGGCCTTCGGTTTTTAGAACTGACGAATTCTATGGTATGCTTTATATAAACGTCTATTGCCTTAGAAGCATCTCCTGGTTGTAACAGCCTATATGATACATCCTTTTTTGTATACGCCAACTTGGCCACATTAAATGAAGCCTATTCCTATTGCTTGAAATCTCCCGTACAGCATTCTTTCTGTTGTTTTTGATCACCTAGAACTCATTGTATTTTATAAGTTTTGTTTGTTCATCGAGAAATTTCGCCTAAAACTACATACTACTGATAACTGATTGACATGAGTAGTTGTATTCCACTCAAATCAAACAGTATTATATGCTGGCCAGTCAGGTTGAAATCATCCTTATACCGGATGGTTGTTTCACTCTTTTTACGTTCGGGATCATCGGTAGTGTAACCGAACTGACTTAGCTTAGAAAGCTGAGTCAGTATAATATAATATTAATCAATGTTAAATCATTAAATCAGTATTAAATAAATAAAAATAAACATTATTTCGTCGTCTGTTTTTCTTTCTTCTCTCATTCTATAGAGGCTTAACTCAACATGGTTGCAACCGAATTTCTTGGTTATATTCAATCCTTTTCTGTTTGTAATTATGTTGGATTTGAAGATTTAGCTGATCGGGCTAATTTTCAATGGAATGTTATCATACTACTTTTATGTATGGTATTAGTAACATTGAGACAATATTTTATGACTCCACTGGTGTGTTATATACCAACAACAGTGAGTGGAGTGAATGCTGATTCGTATATCACTAATCTATGCTGGATTGAAGGCACATTCCCGATAAATCTTACCTCTGGAATTGTACCTCATAAATTACAAGAATGGGAGGCGCTTAGACCACAACAAATGAGTACGTTTACTTTTTCTCTGCTTTACTTCATAAAATTATTTATTTTTAATTATTATCAGTAGTAGCCTTTGTTTCCCATTATGCATTATCACATATTGTGTGAATAAAGAACCCATAAGTCGGCCACGAGATCTCATTTCTTGACCCCTCTTGAAAGATGTGCAGTTATTTAGGAGGGGTTGGTTATATATATATATATATATATATATATATATATATATAAGAGAGAGAGAGAGAGAGAGAGAGAGAGTTAATTGACAACAGAGGTCAGAGGTTGTTAATGTGATTTAGTAACAAAATAAGTCGAATTGTGTAAGAAATATTGAGTGATCTTGCGTTGTCAAGTAGCTTGACAACTGATTGTTGAAGTGATAAACAAGTATTTGGTAGTTATTGATAAAGAAACGAAAACAAACGATCGAAAATGATATTTAAATATTGGTTTGCAGGGATTTGATTGACTGGTTACAGGATTCCATCTTGAGCTGATATCGGTTAGTGAACCATTTGAAAACCCACCAGGGACTACTGAACAGCCAGCTGTTTCCTCAGCCTAGTTTGGGGCTCTTTAGCAATACGCATCCACTTCCACGGTTTGAACTCAGGTCTTTATGGTTACAAGGCGAGCGTTCTCATAGCTCATCAAGCCTCTGGGATTCGATCCAGTGGCCAGTGCATGAATTCCAACTTCTGCCAATTCATGATATAACGCGTCCACGGTCAGCTAATGTTGTCGGTGGCGAGTATTTGTCCCCTCACACCCGACCTGGTGTACTCCATTCAAAAATTTAAAAAAAATGATGAAACCCTTTAACCATTAAAATCAAATCCCTGCGAATCAATACTTGGATATCAATCTGATAGTCACTAGCGGCTGGACCTATTCATGTAGGTAGTTATCTGAGTTCTAATGAAAAGTCGTGACCAGTGGGGTACAGCAGATCGGGGTGTGAGGACAAATACTCGCCTCTGATATTGGTTAGCGGTCGTGATGTATTGTAAATTGGCAGGAGCTGGAATTCATGCAGTGACCATTGGATCGGGTTCCTCTGGCTTAATCGTCTACGAGCTCGCTCACGTTGCGACCGGAAGGCCATGGGTTCGAACCCTGGCGGCGGGCGCTTACTGATGAAGGGTTCCAGACCAGGACGGAACAGCTGGTCACCCAGTACTGTCTACTGGTTCACTAACCGATATTTAGCTCACCATGAAATCCTGTAAACAACTGAAAAGGAATTAGTAAGGAAATTAGAAAATAAAAAATTCAAAGTTTTTTTACATTTAGTCCCCTTGTGATGAGTTCCAATAAAAAAAGAAGGACCAGATTTGGAGTATAAAATGATATGATTCTATTTCACAGGTTTTTCTCATCAGCTGCACACCACTACCTGGAATTACAAGCGTTATAAATAATGACAATAACATACTTCAATGTTTGCATAATAGTGGAGAAAACATAAAAAAGTTAACGCATCTGAAATGCAAACAGCATTACAATTCTTAGTTTAAGTTACCGTCACTTTATATGCTTTCAAAATAGAAAAGGAGGTGGGAGAAGGAGAAACCAGAAGACAGAAAAACCTAATAAACAGTGTGTCAGCTTGTAGATTCACATACCAACTCAAGAAGGTTATAGTTCATCATAAGATTGAAAACCTGCTCAGTTAACTGAAATCACTAGTAAGGATATTTTGACTTGACACTAGTAACTAGTGTGTGATGCGAGTCCGAATAGCTCAGTGGTAACGTCTCTGACTGCAGTACTGAGTGATGCGGGTTCGAACCTCACAAGGGACATGACTACCTTCAAGGTTGCAGATACGCCTTGCTGACGAGTGCCAACTAGCATGAGACCTAGGTCCAAGGCTTCCTGCCGATTACCTCCAACCATCTAATATCACTAATAAGGATGAGTGATCAATGTAATCAAAATCCAGTTACCAAGACCGAGTGAGAGATTAAGGATTACACTCTCTTTCTGTATACATAAGTATGGTTTGAAACGCTTGCTTGCATTTGCTTCATTAAGTCGTAGTAAATTTGCTGCAGATCTGGTCTTTCTTTATCGAAAGATTAAAAGGACTACATAGAATTTGTTATGCAACCATTCAGGGAAATAGAAATTGACGCTAAGGCTATGGAAGTAGTAAAAGAGGTTGGATAAAGGCTTTCTGAACACAAAATCCAGGCTTTTCCTAATGGAATGCTAAAGCTTCGGCTTCATGAAGACGATATAGACGAAATCCTTTCGAATAGCTTGATCGTACTTGCCTCTGAATGAAGTTCCTGTCGATTTATCCTGACCAGAAATGATAATGTGCTCTAGAATTCAGCCGTTGAATATTCCGAGCTCTTCTTCTAACAACTACGCTGGTGAGTGTTCATATTACTCACTGACAGTAACTTCTGACCTCTGTTATCAGTTAGCATTGTATGTATAAACCCCCTAAATAACTAATTACAGATCTTTTTGTTGACTTATCGTTTCTAAATTACATGAAACGGGAGTTGTCATACCTTGAAGAAATCCAAGTTCCCATTGACAATAATCGGAGTTCAGTTGTGTTCCCCAGTTTTCCGTCAAATTTGGTGAAGTAAAGTTGAAACTGCATTTCTCGAAGAACTGTATCACAAATCATCAGTATCCGGGGAAATTGTTACGGAATCATGTTTTACGACAATATCTTGATTCTCCTAGTGTCATTTTAAATTTAATCATTGGATCCAGATTACTCAACAATTATGAGCTGACATCAGTTAGAGAACCATTGGAAAACCAGTCAGGGAGTACTGGACAGCTGTTTCGTCCTAATTTGGGACTCTTTATCAGTACTTACCCGCCATGGTTCGAACCCAGGACCTTCTGGTTACAAGGCGAGCTCGTATACCACTAAGCCCCGGTGGGTGCGTACTATTAAAGAGTCGCAAACCAGGACGAAACAGCTGTCCAGTACTCTCTGACTGGTTTTCCAGCGGTTCTCTCTAACCAATGTCAGCTCATGATGAAATCCTGTAACCAATCAATCAAATCCCTACAAACCAACACCTCAATATACAATTAGTTTAATTCATCTGAACTAGTTATCTACGGGGGGGGGGGCGGGGGAGAGTTGAAGTGTAACCAACTGCCGGAATCTGATCACTCACTGTATCGGACAATAGAAGTATACTAAATCAAAGCGATTTATTGTTGAGAGAAACAACTTCGGGGTGTGATTTTATGCTGCTTGACACTCAATATTTCGTTTCGAAAGCACTGAATACAAATACACAGTCATTGACCAAGTTAAGTACTGGATCTATTCAATGAGAATAGTAACACCGCAAATCCCCCCTATAATTGAGTAGAAACTTAAACCGATTATCCTGTTCAAGTTCTTTTTGTGACTCATATTAACCAAGATTCTAGTGTATCGGCTAGCAGAAACTCGATCTATTTGTGAAGGTAGATCAATAATTGACACTGGTTGTAGAACCATTAAGGACTAGGGAGTATTCGGAAGCTGTTTGTTCCTTGTTTGGAGCTCTTCAGCAGTATGCTGCTATGACTCCATCGTTAAGCACCGAAGCTAGGACCTTCATATTACAAGGCAACCCAGTTGACTATTTGGATATTAGGCTGGTGTCTGATAACCCGTGAATTCTATTTCTGCCAATTCAGAATATACATATATATTCCCACCACCGGCCAATGTTATCAGCAAGTATTTGTCCTCACACTCGACCTGGCCGAGTCTACCGGCTATGAATTATCATTAGAATTTCAGGCCGAGAAAATACCATGCACTGATTAAGACACTCTACTCGTACTCATGCAGCCATGTGACGGCTTACGGCGAGTTGTTATCTCAAGTGGTGTCCGTCAAGGATGCCCATTATCCCCATTTATATTCAACTTCATTATAGATGTACTAACTCACTTCAGCGACTCAGGGATTGACTTGCTACCAGAAATAATCTCGTTGACTTAGAATATGCAGACGACATAGTCCTTCTGGGCGAGGACGCTGAAAAAATACAGAGTCTTCTAAACACCTTGAGCTGCAGTCTACGAATGTTTGGTATGCAATTCGCTCCTGATGTCAAATGCAAGATGATGTTACAGGATTGGTCTACACCGACTCCTAGATTAGAAAAAGGAAGTGAAGTGGTAGAGCACGTTGACCGCTTCACTTACTTGGGAAGTACCATCAGCCCTAACGGGTTGATCTCTGACGAAATCTCAGCACGAATACAGGGGGCTCGTTTCGCATATGCCAGTTCACGCCGTCTCTGTTTCTGGTGTAGACGTGATATCCGACTACCGACCAAAGGGCGGGTGTGCTGCTCATCAGTCCACCCCGTCCTCCTTTATGGCTGTGAGCGAGATATGGCCATTGAGAGTGAAAGACATGAAAAGATTAGCTGTCTTTGATCATAGGTGCCTGCGTTCTATCTCCTGTGTGTGTTAAGTGGTCGAATAAGGTTAGCAATATTGAGGTTAGGCGTCGAGTTCTAGGTAAGGAGGGGAAATCAATCGACGAGGTTGTGAAGCTACATCGACTGAGATGGTTAGGACATGTGTTACGTATCCCTAGTCATCGCCTTCCTCGATGGACAGGGCAATGTTAGCTGAAATAGGGTCAGGCTGGAAAAAAGCTAGCGGAGGTCAAACAAAAACATGGCTTCACCAGTCAATGATATCCACAACAGTTAGTCTAAGCCACGTAGGAAGGTGTAGACTGGCCTCCTGGTTGGGGTCCTCGGGACGGTAAAAATCAATCGCTGGAAACAATCGGTGATATGGCTCAAAATGGCTGTCAGTGGCTGGTGCAGATGCATCCACTCCTTGTGACTTATGATTTCCAATGAAATTATCTTGTTCTTCGTTATAACTATTCCTTTGTCTCACACCTCTGTTTACTGTCTCTATATGCATTTCTTCTACTTTCTGCTCTTGGTTTGTGTGCTACATGGAGTGTGGCAACTTGAACTGCTGCACATTTGTGCAAAGTTCTACG